TCCCTCATCACCCTTATCTGGCCCCGAATTCACAGCCTGGTGCCCGGCATGGCCCGGCCCACGGCAAAGGTGAAGGGCTGAGCCACAGCTCGTCAGGGGCAAAGTCCAGGGCTGATGCAGGTGCTTGTGGGAGCACCCAGATCCTGATGGGAGCTGGGATGGGGCAGTGGGCAGAGGTCCCCCAGTGCCAGAGCCAGCCTTGGGGTGTAGGAATACACTGCCATGTGCCCACACTCTCCTGTAATTGCCCTAAGTTTAGCTCTGGCACTCGCTGACCAGACAATTTGCATCTCACAGGCCGGCTGGAAACCACACGATTTAGGGACGCGCGTCCCAGCCCTCGCCCGATCTCCATATATTCCTCTCTGGGAAAATTAACAGGCTGGCCACAGCCCTGCGAGCCACCACCACCCCCAGCACAGCAGCTCGCTGAGTGCCACCCACCCCTGTCACTCTGAAAAGGTGGCTCAGGTGCCAGTGGCACCGGCCCCAGCAGCGATGTGGTTAGCGGCGAGCCGGGCTAATGGCTTTGGATGCAATTCCCTGGCGGTGTGGGAAAGGCCCAGGCCAGCGGGTTCTCCCTGGAAGCATTCCCTGGGAGCCCTGCAGCGGATGCTGGGGTACCCAACACGGAGCACCTGACACGGGGCATCCTGCAGGGGGGACGCACAGGGACACCGCACGCAGAAACACACCGCGCACAAGGTGACACACACACATGCGAACACGCACACCAGTGACACTGGGGGCTGCACAGGCGCTGCGAGACAAGAGCGGGCCATGCGCACGCCCGCACCCCGCAACCGGGGGGCGGCACCGAGGGGGTCCGCACCCACCCACGCACCTACAGCGGCCGTGCAACGCCGCGGGGGCACGGGCACGGGCACGGCTGAGCTCGGCTCGGCCCGGCCCGGCCCGCCGGGGGGGCGATGCAGCCGCGGCCCGGCCGGCGCGGCGGGCGGTGCGCACCGGTGCCCCCGCGGCGTTGCGGGCGGCCGGTGGCCGGTCCCGGTGGGATGGCGGCGGGTACTCACCCAGCGGCGGCGGCGGAGCGGGGCCCGGTGGCGGCGGCGGCGGTGCCGGGCCCCGGCGGCGGCGCGGGGCGGGGCGGGGCGGGGCGGCCCCGCACCGGGGCGGGCACTGCCGGCTCTGCGCGCGCCGCCCGCCGCGCCGGGCGCGGCTCCGCTCGGCACCGAGAGGAGCGGAGCGGGGCGGAGGAGCGATCCTGCCCACCCGAGAACCCCGCTGAACCCGCAGCCCGGCTGTAACCACCGCACGGAGCCGCGGCCGCAGCCGGTACCGGCGCAACCGCCCCCGCACACCCACGAACCGGGTTGACCCCGCACACCCCCGCGGAGGCACACACGGTGTGTGCACACCCCCGGTGTGACACGGTGACACCCCGTCCATCCGGCACTGCCCGCACGCACACACCGCCCGATCCTCACATACACTCACACGTTGTGAGCTCGCACTGTGCACACACGCAGCCCCGTGCACCGCACAATGCACACACGCACTCCTGGGGTTCTCCTCTTGGGAAGAATCCCATCAGGAACAGCACTGGATCCAGACAGGGAAGGCTCCAGGCTGCCGGCCCGAGCAGGGTGATGGGTACCTGCTGGCCCCAGTGCAGGGAATACAAAGCTGGCCATGGCAGAGCCGCCTGAGGAGCCATTCTGCAGCTTCTCCCACAGCACCTGTCCCCAGCGAGGGCTGTCAGCCTGACAGTCAGGGACTGACTGTGGGACAGTGGCTGCTCTGCCCAGGAGACAGCCCAGGGTTAACAAAATGAGCATCTCCCAGCACACCCGGCAGCGAGAGCGGCACAGTCTTTGTTCCACCCCTTCCACTGGTGTCCAGCTTTGGGATGTCACACTGGGGTTGGTCACATACAGTCAGAATCCTGGGACAGATGGTTTCAGGATAAGCCCTGCCATGTCAGTTCTGGGACAACCTCCCTTCCTATGGGGTGTGGGAGCAACTGGGCCCAGGGAAGCTGCAGTGGGGCTTTGGGAACAGGGAACCCCGAGAGAGGCATCCACAAGCTCTTCCCAAAAGCACTTTTCAGGCAGTGCTCAATTTCTGATTGGGAAGCTCAAAGAGATGACAGGGACAGTCCCCTGCCCAAGGGGACTCTCTCCAAACCCCTGCTGCTGTCCTGGCTGAGTCGTGTGGTCTCCTTCCATCAGGCTGTGAGCCTCTCCTGGGACACACCTGTCTGGGTGTCACAAGCCCCACTCCCTCGCAGTGGTAAAGCTGGCTGTGATTTCCAGCCCACAGCCCGTGCCCAGGACACAGCCCCACAGCAGCAGCAGGGCAGGACACATGGGGCATAGCAGAGCAAGCTGGCAGCTGTGCAAGGAGCCCTGTGCTGAGCATGCAGTGGTGGAGGAGATGCAGCCCTTGCAGGGCGGAGGACGGCGGCAGTGAGCACAGCTGCCTGCTTTTGTCACACTGTCCTTTGTCCCAGGCACGTGGCACCAAGTGCAGGGAGCCGCAGCCATCCGGAGAGCAGGGATGGGGTTGAGTGATCTGGAAGGGCCTGTCTGAGCTTTCAGGAGGGTTTTCCAGCTGCGGTGGCGAGGGGGACACCCTGTGTGGCTGTAGCTCTGCCCTGCTCCCCAGCACAGGTGGGTGAACAGCCAGTTACAGCCTGTGGCAGCTCCTGCTTCCTTATCACACTGGGCAGGTGGTGATGGGCTGATGCCGGTTGGAACTGCCCAGCTGTGGGACAGCACAGGGTCCCCAGTGCCACACAGCTCTGCCACCCTCAGCCACCCACTGGGGCCACTCTCCTGCTGCATCCCCAGAGCTAAACACCCTGTGTTTTCCAGCAAACTGACCAGCTGTTCCTGTCCACATGATCCCATCTGGCTTTGTCAGAAACAGGTTGGGTTGCCCTGAGCAGCTCTCCCTGACAGAGGGTTCCCCAGGCACCAGCAAATCCCACATCCAAGGAAATTCTCTGTGTTGCCCAGGGTTTTCTGTGCAGAAGGAAGACAGAGCTCCGGTGCCAGTGGCATTTTGTGTGCCCCTGGCAGGCACACATGGCTGGCCAGGGCAAGGGCTGGGAGGGGAAGCATCTGTTTTGCAGCACCGCGGGGTTCCCTAAATAGGTCACTGCATTTTTATAGTCTCTTGGATCTAGAAAAACCAGTTGTTCTGGATAACCTGTGGACCCACCAGCATCACTGGCTCCCCAGGCACTTGCTGCTGTGCTCCCAGGTCCTTGTGGGGGGGACACCTGCCCCACCAGCAGGGTGAGGGGTTGGGGGGTCCACAGCAGCCTGAGCCATACTGGGGTCCTGTTATCTGCTGAGAGTGACCCACCCTTGGCCATGACCAGAGTGGGCTGTGCAGGCAGGGCTTTCCCCCCACCTTGCCCCTGGCTTGGGGTGGCTGCCAGCTCCAGGCTTTGCTCTGGGGTGGTTTCCAGCCAGAGTCAGTTTTCCTGGTGCAAGGGGAGGCAGGTGCCTGTGCGGGGTGCAGAGGGGCGTGCAGTGCCACACACCCGCGCACAGCCGCATGCGCCGGCGGTGTCCCATCCTGCTCGGGCTGAGCTCTCCCTCTAGTGGCACCAGGCTCCTGGCAAAGCCTCCACGCTCTGGGGTGGCCGCAGCCGTGAGCAGGGCACGTTCGAGGGGCTGGAGCGAGCGGGAGGGCGAGCTCCGAGCTGACCTCCCCCCTGAGCCGGGATGCCCCCAGAGCTGCACAGGGAGTGCGCTGGGTGGGCTTCGCAGGAGCATCCCACCACCAGCCCCTTGTTGGCACCTTGCAGAGCACAGGTGGTCCTGCCTTTTTCCATTCCCTGACCCAAATTTTGCTGGGATGTGCTGGCACCTGTGGAGCCAGGCCTCGGGGGTGCAGCCCCACGGCTCTGTGTCACAGTGATCCCCGCCGTGACACCGATCCCACCCCTATCCCCATCCCGCAGCAGCCAGCGAGGGGAAGAACCCCACAAACACCAGCTTTCCCCCCTCAGGGCAATGCCCTGCCCGCAGCGGGGCTCCCCCAGGACTCCGCTGAGCCCCAGCAGGCCCGTCTGGGCGGGTGCCACCCCGCCGCGCGTCCCCGCAGGGTCCCCCGGGCCGGGCGCCAGGCCCTGCCGCAGGCAGCGCTGACGGGGCGCTTTGTTTTGTGCGGCCGCGCCTGCCCAGCGGGGAGACAAAAGGGGCAGTCAGACGCGGGCGAGCATTGTGCTGGCAGCCATGCGCTGAGGCAGCAGCCCGAGCCGCCACGCTCGCCTCGTGACCCCCGACGGCCCGGGCTGTGCCCGCCATGGTGCCCCGGGGCCTGCAGCGCCCGCCCCATGGCAGCCCCGCTTGAGGAGGGGGCTGTGAGCTTCGTGGCTGGGGTGACCGCAGGGCTGAGCCTCCCCAAGGCCATGGCAGGTGTCCCGGGTGTGGGGTTGTGGTGGTGGCAGCGCTGTGGGGAGCGTTGGGGCTCGGTGTGGTTGTGGGGACCTGTCTGCCAGGGCCACGCCAGTTCTCACCTCCAGCCTTCCTCGCCCGTGATGGTTGGAGGGTGTCCACGCCAACACGGTGACAGGGAACGCGCCTTGGTGGTGAAGCGAAGTGACAGTGCCTGGTAGACACCTTGCCGAGCCCACCACCTGCAGGGTCTCACGGCGAGGTGTCCCCGCCGTCCCCACAGTGCCAACTGGCGCCAGGGCCAGGCCAGCCCCCAGGCTCACCCCGTGACGGCGCGGTGCATTGCCCCTGGAAAATGCCAGCGCGGTCAAATCGTTGAGTCATTTGTGCCCAAGATTATCTGTGCAAACAGCCGCCCCGATTATTTTTTTTTTTTTTATTATCAAATTTTTTTTCTTTTTCCCTAAGAATGTGGCTCAGACCATGGGGATGAGCAGCTGAAATCTCCTGGGATCAGCAGGACAATGCCAGAGCAAGCATTGTGCTGACGGCTCTGCAAACGCTGGCACCGGTTCCCGGCCAGCAGTACCCTATAAAAGCTGAGCCGCTGAAGTAGGCAAACATTACATGGGCGAAGCAGCAGTAACCGCCTGAGCTAGGTGAGTCCTGGACCGATGCGCACCTCTCCCACCTCACCCCTCTGCTGCCAGCCGGCTGGGCAGGCACCCTTCCTCCTGCCTGGTGGCAAAAGACACCCAGAGGGACTGTCGCTGTTTTCTGTGGCATAAGACAGGCTCACATGTCCCCGCTGGCAGCCGGGGGGGCTGAGAGCCCCTCTACAGCAGGGCACCCCACTGCTGGCATCCACCAGCATGGTTGGCATCTCCCACCATTAGCCAGGGCTGTCCATGGGAGCCCACCGTGCCTCCCAGGGGACACCGGGCAGGGAGAGGGGACCAGGCGGGTCTGTTGGACACTGCCAGGCACAGGGCAGCCCGTGCCCACTGAAGGCCCCTGCTCTGGCTCAGGGGTGCTTTTCCTAGTGGTGGAGGAAGGAGAAAGGGGGATTGGGCACTATGCCCTGGTGGGAGTGCAGGCTCCATGCCATGGCAGGGAGGAGGGAAGGGGCACTGCAGCGGTGAGAAGAGAGCACCTTGCTTTGGATGTGTCCCACAGCTCCCTAGTGTGTCCACAAACTGGGGCTGGCAAGGGGGTCTCCCTGCAGCTGGTGTGGCTTGTCCCCTGCAGTGGGGCAGCTGTCCTTGAACAGGCACTGGGGGTGGCAGGCACAGAGCTGTTCCTGGCCTCTCGAGGGGGGAATGCACAGGGACATGATGTGGTAAAAATGGCTTTTCCTTCCTTCTCCAGACACCGATCCAGCAGCAGCAAAGATGGCTCAGACAAACCCTCTGCCTGTTCCCATGGGCCCGTGGAAGGTACGTCCTCACAGTCCCTGTATTTCACCTTTATGTGTGCAGGTAGGGAGCAGGGAGAAGGGCAAAGCCCATCCTCCAGGGCCAGGAAAGCTGCTCAGCGGGCAGAAAGGCAGGGATGAGCACAGGAAACAGGCACCCCTGTCCTCTGCCCATGGGAATGTGCCTCCTGCCTGCTCAAATACCTCCCGGGTGTTTTTCATAAGGCTCTTCACAGCACCCCGGGCCAGCTGTGCCCTGCTCTTACCAGCCATCCCGTGACAGGCAGTTACAGAGTCCCCAAAAACCACCGGCTGTAGTTCACCCTCCCCTGTCCATGCAGACAGGGTGAGCATGGGCAGTGGGCACTGTGGAGCAAAGTGGGGAGCAGCCCCACGGGGTCTGGCGGTAGCCCCAGGGCCACTGGTCGAGGAGGGAGCCAAGAGGGAAAGGAGAAACACGTGCACAAGTGAGGAGCATCCCGTGCACAAGTGAGGAGCATCCCGTCGAAGCCTGGAGCTGTCGCGGGAGAGGAAAGCATCAGCCGCAGCCCCCCAGGGAGGTGCCCCTCGCCCTTTCCCCCGTTAATCCTCTTTGCCCTAGAGCGTTCGGAGCAGAGGCCGGGAGAACCGCCAGCCACAGCCCTGCCACCCGCCCGTCCCAGAACGGCTCCGCTCCTCTCTCCGGACGGCAGCGCCGCCCCGGGAACTGATCTCCGCAGGGGTGAGCAGGAGAGCGGAGCGGGGGCCAGCCTGCGGCTCCCCCGACACCAAGGCAGGGCGTGGCGGGGCCGGCAGTGCAGGGACGCGGAGGCGTGCGGGGCTGTCTCCCGGCCCAGAGGGTGCCCGCTGCAGCCTCCGCTGGCTCTCTCCCTGATGGAGCCACCCTCCGTCCGTCTCCCAAGAGGCGCTGAATTGCCTGGGGCCACTGCTGGGCAGTTTCCAACTCGGCAGCTCGCTCTCCGTTCCAGATCACCGTGTACGACCAAGAAAACTTCCAGGGCAAGAGGATGGAGTTCACTTCGGCCTGTCCAAACATCATGGAATGTGGCTTCGACAACATCCGCTCCCTGAAGGTGGAATGTGGCGCGTGAGTACCCGGCTGCCAGTGGAGGGGGTGCTTTCCCAGGCAGGGAGAGGGGTGCCCAAGCGTGGAGTGGGACCAGCTGTCCCCGCTCTGCTTGGCTGGAGTCAAACACCACAGCCAAGGGAAGCCAGGCATGGAGGATCCCACCCTGCCAGGGTAGAGCAGGCCAACCCAGGCAGCACTGATACAGGGAGAGGGCCAGGGGACAGTGGCAACACCCTTGGCATCACCCAAAGCTGCCTCCTGCAGCGCTGGACCGGTCAGGTTTGGAGAAGGGCTGCTGCCCAAGGATGCAGAGAGGGTCAGTGCTCAGTGGCCTGGCTTAGCGTGGTCCCCATCCTGAAGCACCAGCCCTAGAGAACCACCTCTTGCCCAGGGCCCAGCCTTGCTCTGCCCTGTGCTTTCCCTGCCACTGAACAGCTTCCTAGACCAGGGCAGAACCTTCCCGCAGCTTCTCCAGTGCTGAGAGGGGTAGGGAGCAGAGCTGGGCTTCTCCCTGCGCACGGGAACCTTCCCTGGCACAGGCAAAGCAGCTCCCGAGCAGCTCGGAGGGGCGGAGTGCTGGGAGCGGTCCCGCGGTGCGCATCCCGCCGGGGCGGGGAGCAGACGAGACAGATTTGTGCTGCTATCTTTAGGACGTGTAATGCTAATGGGATTACAGCAGCGTGCGTGCTCACGCTGTAATCAGCTCCCTGCTCCAGTTGACTGCTCCTAATCAGGCTGTTCACCTTGCACAGGGCGGGCTAGCTGCAGGACATGGCATTGGGGCTCAGTTTGGGTCAGTGGCAGGAAACCCTCGACCCCCTCAGCAGCCTTTGTACCCCATCAGCAGAGGATCCATGCACTGCACAGCCTGTGCCACTCACCTTCCAACCCTCAGCCCAGGCTCTGTCTCCCTGCTCTGCCTGTGGCTCTGTCCCCAATCTCCTCAAGGGGACATCCCCACCCTGGGGACAGGCAGGTGCTGTGTGGGCAGCACCAGGGCTTGCAAAATGTGTCCTGCAGGGTGGAGGCATCCCACTCACCTCTCCTTGTTTGTTTTCAGCAAGAGGAGAAGGCAGAAAGGGGAAAGGCCATAGGTCCCTGCTCTCTGCTCAGAGCCAGATGGGCCCTGCCTGCTGTGGGCATCGGGAATTCAGGTCTTTCCAGCAGTGTCAGGTTGTAATTGGGAAACAAGTTAGAAATGAGGCCTTTGGGAGGAAGGGCAGCTGGGGCATCCTGAAACGATGCTGGTCTGCATAAATGATGACAGAGCAGCCAGGGGGAAGAGCCACCTGTGCAGGATGGACCCCAGGATCTCCCCACCTCCCCCATCCCCTGCAACCAGGGATGCCCTGTGGGTGCCTCTGCAGCACCAGATGCATTTTCACCCTCCCTGGGTTCTCTGCCCACATCCAGCACCGCTTCCTCTCCTCCCAACCTGTGGGGAGAGGCCAGACCCCAACCTCCCCCTTGAACCTACATCCTGCCCCTAATGCCAGCTCCCAGCAGGATGCCCCGAGCTGCTGCAGGAAGCCCTGGCAGCCCTGGCTCTGTTTTTGCAGCTGGGTCGGTTATGAGCACACCGGCTTCTGCGGGCAGCAGTTCATCCTGGAGAGGGGAGAGTACCCGCGCTGGGACGCCTGGAGCGGCAGCAACGCCTACCACATCGAGCGCCTGATGTCCTTCCGCCCCGTCTGCTCTGCTGTGAGTGTCCCACCAAGCTCTGAGCCCCTGAAAAGGGCCCAGGCCACGCCAGGGAGGTTAGGAAGGGAAAACACAGGGGCAGGCTCAGTGCTTCAGCCCCGCAGCCCCAGCAGGGTTTGCTCTTTCTGTCCTGTTTTTTAAAGCTTTGGAGGGAATTTCTGGGCAAGCTGTACATGACCAGAGATAGGGGACAGTCAGCCTGAGACAGTAGCTGTGGCATAGCTGACATCTCCCAGCCATCCAGAAAACTCCAACCAACCAGGGTCTGAACATCTCCCTCTCCAGGATCCCTCTGAGTAATGCCATAGGGAGTGACAGCCCTGCCATTCCCACCCACGCTGGGGAGGCAGCACCACCTCTCCCTCACCCCCTGCTCTCCCCCACAGAATCACAAGGAATCCAAGATCACCATTTTTGAGAAAGACAACTTCATCGGCCGCCAGTGGGAGATTGCTGATGACTACCCCTCGCTGCAGGCCATGGGCTGGGCCAACAACGAAGTGGGCTCCATGAAGATCCAGTGTGGCGCGTAAGTGACAGGAGCAGCAGGGACAAGCTGCCATCACTGTGCCACCACGATGGGAAGGGACACTCTGTAACCCCCCTGCTTACCTCTTTGTCCTTTGCTTCCAGCTGGGTGTGCTACCAGTATCCCGGGTACCGTGGCTACCAGTACGTCCTGGAGTTTGACCACCACGGTGGAGACTACAAGCACTGGAGAGAGTGGGGCTCACACGCCCAGACCTCCCAGATCCAATCCATCAGGCGTGTCCAGCAGTAGCTCCTCACTTCCCAGTACATCTCTGCAAGGTTTCGAAAGCTCACCGGCTCCCTCTTGGTGCTAATACTCCCCTCCCGAAATAACCACCCCCTCTCGTACTGCCACTGCTTATGGAACAACACTCCCAAAACGGTACCGACTGCCACAATTGCCAATAAATGTGACTGAAAGAAAAAGATAAATCAGTTTGGTGTGTGTTCGCTGGTGTGTGTTTGGGACTGAGGTTGCACATCCCCATCACAGGAGCAGGGACCGGACTCTTTCCTATTTATTTTAAGCTGGGCTGAATTGAGGTGGGCCTCACACTGAGGGAGGTTCAGACCCCCACTGCTGCACAGAAACCCTTGGTTTTTTCCCTCCCTGCCCTCTGCTTCCCCTGACAAAGTAAAGGACACCTGGATCCACCCCACCTGCATACACACAGCTCATGGGCACTATGGCCAGCACTGCCAGGTCTTTAGGATCCAAACCCAGGCTGCTCCTTGAAAACGCAAAAAAGAAAGTCACACTGACACCCACAAACTTTAAAATTTTTATTCAACAATTTACATCACTTATTGTCTGTCTTAACGTATTCGATCTACACAAATTTCTTTTTTTTTTTCCTGATAAAATAATAAAATTTGGATAAATTTTGAAGACCTGTTGGTGCAGAATAAACAAAATTTCAGGTAAGGTTTTTTTTTTTCTTTTTTCTTTTTTCTTAAACATTTAGTGTGAAGTATGACATCATTGGTAAAGATACATCATGCCATTACAGCTCATGGACATTACCTATCCTTACAGTCCGTGACATCACCCACACCAGCGCAAGGGGCTGCGCCAGACACAGCTACAGCAGGTTTTACACTAAACTCCTCTAGCCACCCTCTCACCACTGGGAAAACGCTTTTCCAGCTGGGCACACCGAGTGCATTCACCTAATCAGAAATTACCGGGGAGGGGAGAAGGAAACAAAGACTACCTTTACTGATCCGTGTGGTCGCACACTACAACATCGACACCAAAGAGGGGCTGCCCCTCTCCGCAGGTCAGAGGTAATTCAGCTCCTGAGCAGGTAGAGCACAACCCCTCGCAGCGATTGGAATACAAACCAGGAACGAAATGAGAACTTATCGACGGGGAAGGGGGGCAGGAGAGGAGACAGACCCTGCCCAGCTCTGCCTGCAGGGATCCCTCCAGCCCCAGCTCGCAGTTGAAGCGCGCGGTTGTGTTTTGCACCGCCCTTAACACTGAAATATTCAGGGAAGGGGGAGAGAGGGGCATCAGTCCCCCCCAGTAAACAAGTTGAGGACCTTCAGAGGCTGGGAAGCCGCTGAAGGTGTGTAAGTACACGTGTGATGGTAGATAGAAAAGCAGCCCTGTTCTGTATGAAAAAAAGCTGTCAAGTTAGTACAAATTTCTGCCATGGCGAAGGGAACAGGAGGAGAAAGCTGTCAGGGTCCTTCTCCCGTCACAAAATCCCAACTCTCCCGCACACAGGCTCTGGGCTAAGCAACGTGTTTCCAAAGGTGGTACCTGCAACCCAATGCACCTAACGCATGAGAACAAAACCAAAATAAAGCTCTCACCCCTGAGGCTGGAGGGAACCCAGACTTCACTCCAGCCTCGCAGCGGTAGAGTGAGGAACACTGTCCCTCCTGCCTCACAGTGGGAATACACAGCAGTAGGATTCCTCTTGGTTCATTTTGTCATTAGAAGCCTCGAGTTTGCCCACGCCACCGGCCTGCAGCGCAGTGGACTGGTCTCCATCCCCTCCCCAAAGCTGCTTGGCGTGGGGGCTCCCTGTCCCCATGGGGACACCAGTGGGTGCCACCACCACGCTCTCCCTGGAGACAAAAAGGGCACTGGTTCACCCGACAGCACAAAGTGTATCTGAAACACAAGCCAGAACACCCCGCTCCCTCCAATTCAACTACTAAAGTAGGCTCTTTAAAATAAAAAAATAATATATATATTTATATAGCTATACAGAGAGATACAGAGAAAAGCAAAGGAGAGAGAAAGGCTACTAAAAAAAATCAAGAAGCGCCAGTTTTCTGCTACAGCTGTCAGCAAAGAACTGTCACCTTACATCATACCCTCCGAGATGGTGAAGAGAATGGAGGCAATGACAGCACAGGAATGCAAAAGAGGGCAGATAAGTCACTTCTGGTAATGAGACACAAATTAAACTTTCAAAACATGTGCATAGCTTTATTCATCTGCTTCAAACTAACCTTTTCACGGAGCTTCAGCGAAACCCGAGTGTGCAAAATGCATTTCTAAAAAATAATGCAAGCAAGCTTTCACATTTACTGTGGCAGAAGTACAGAAAGACTCGGACAGAATCATCACACGCTGGGGCGGGAGATGGAGAACCCAGAATTGCACAGCTTGGAGTTCTGAGTCACTGACTGCAAACACAAGCGTTTGGATTTCGTTAACTTCAAGCAAGGCGTGTTAACTTCTCCTTTACAAAAAAATCTTGTAAACCCTACAGAAACAAGAACCACAACCTGGCAGGGAATAAATTCCCTGGATAATGGGATCATGGTGCCACAGAGAGCCTGAACTCCAGCAAAGCCGGTTCCAGACCTCGGATGTTTTGGCTCTGCAGGTGAACCGTGGCAATGCTGATTTTTTGTCCGCAGAAGAGCGAAGCAGCTTTTCCTTCTCTCCCTCCCACTCCCCTCCCAAGTCACAGGTGCCACTGCACAGGACATCATCCCCAAACTAAGACAGCCACCACACAGGCTGGAGTCCAGCTCTCATTTTGATCCCAAGGGTCACTGGGACACTAAGGAACCCTGTGGATGGGGAGTGGCCCTTGTGGCCACATCCCCAGCTCACACCCCACCACCTCTCTCCAGAAAGACTAAGCACACATGCAAGGCACATTGAGTCAGATGTACACACACACCTCGGTGTGCAAAAGAGCAAACGCTGTCTGAAAAAGAAAAAACTAACTAAACAGGCAGAAAGCTCTGGCCTATGTATTTGTAGACTATTTTCCAGGCAGTTGTAATCCCCAAGTGTTTTTCCTACACGACTTTAGACCTTCCTTACTCTTACCCCACTTTGCAGAGAGGTGCTTTATATTCCTAAAGGATCTTCTATAAATAGTCAAGTAAAATCCCTTTTTCCCCTCCAGTAAACTCCTCCTCCAGGGTACACATCCCCCACCATGGTCCAGGTGTGACCCATAAAGAGAAGAGGTTCTGCACCTGCCTGTGCCTCACAGAAGTGCCTTGATGCAGTGAGACCTCCCTCCACTGCTCCCTAAGCCTTTTACTGGCAGGTTTGGGCTGGGTGGATGGCTTCACCTCACTTTTTTCTTGGAAAACATCCAAGCCCAGGCAGCGAGTGCTCCCCAGGTGGAGAAGGAGCTGGTGGGTCCCCAGCACTGGGATAAGGGCGGGACGGAGGCCATGCAATCCTTAATACTGCTGGTTAACTGCACATTGAGACAAAGCATTCAAAAGAGCTTTTTCAGAGATGAGCAATTTCCTTCTATAGATAAATTCAAATAGAAAACAAATATATTAAAACCAGAGACAAGACAAGAGCTGACTGAGGTTTTTTCTACCTTACAATTTACTCAGGCACCTTTCCTGCACCACCAGCCATGGAGGAAGGAGAAGTTGAAAACCTCAGGGATTTGCACTACCCTTCCAATAGCAGCTTGAGAAAAGGAAGGAGAGAAAAAGAAAAAGAAATAATAAAAAATAAAATAGCACAGTGTTCTCTCAAGTTAAAGAGTTCTCCTTTGCTTGCGTTTGCATAGAAATTCCCATAGGTCAGCACCAAAATCAGGTCCACCCCTGTCCTACACCCCAGCTCCCCCAGTTCCTACACTCCCCCAGTTAGTGGCTGTGTTACAGGAGGGTTCAGCTATCTGCAGAGGAACTACATGGTCATGTTAAAACAAAACAACAAAAACGAAAAACAAAAGTGCATCACACATTCTTATTTTCAGGGTTACTTATAGCAGCAGCATCAGCATTAATCCAAGACAATGAACAGTTGTAGATTCGTTCTTAAATGCAGCAACACTTAATGAAATGTCTTCAGGGAAGGGCATAAGAGGGTCCTTCTCAAAATGAAAATTAGACTATTCAATATGGACAAAAAGGAGATAAAACAAAAATTAAAAACACAATCTTATTTACATTAAAAAAAAAAACATTCTTGTTAAAATATCTTTACAACACCTAAGCAAAAAAATATGTATTTTAAGAATAAAGCAGGAACTCCTAAAGCAGTATCCATTTTTGGAACCCTTATTTAGCACCTGAGGAAAGACCGTATGGAAAGCAGACAGGCTGGGGATTTTTTTTGTTGGTTTTTTTTTTTTTTTTTTTTTAAGAAACCTGTAAGTTGTATTTTTGCTAAATGTTCAGAAGTTCGCAGTACACAAGTTTCATACCACAGAAAGAAATGAGCAATTCTTTTTTTTTTTTTTTTGTTTGTTTGTTTTCTTCTTTTTAAAGATCTTGTACTCATTAATAAGGCTGTAGAAAAGGGACACTGCTATCTTACAAAATGGCTTTAGAGCTCTGGACACGTTATACGAAGCTTTCTGATTAACAGTCAAGATAAACCCAGCTCAGCATCCCCTGGTGAGGGCACAGGCAGGACTCTTGCTCCTGTCCCAGCACAGGGAATGGGCTCATGCCCAGGACATGAGGCCACCACAGGGTTCTTTACCTCCCCAGACATCCACAGCTTCACTCTCCTGTTGCTTTAGAGGATCTTGGGCAGGACAGAGGAGCCAGCCTGACCCTGGGGTATAACATGTACTGGGCAAACCTCTAAAGCTCTGTAATCCCTGGAAGGTAGCCCATGGAGATTTCCTTCCCACCAGCCCTGGTTCCTGCTTCCCAGCTGTGTGCACTAGGGTTTTCCCACATGGAAAAACACTCTGGTGGTGGCCAAAGCCAGAATTACTCTGGCTTCCTTGGCTACTCCACCACACCAGCCCTTCTCCTGCCTTACACACCAGTGTGAAAACGTGCAGCAGCTTTGAAGTGGGTGAATCCTCCTTGTTCTCTCTCCTCCCAACCTCAACGAGTTCCCTTGTAAACAGCCTCTCTAAGAAAAATCACAACTGATGGACGGACAGAAATGTCTTCTAGGGATGAGAGGGCAAGAGTCCTGAAAGCTTGGGACACCACAGCAATTCACTGAATCAAGATCAAAACCTGGACACACAGGAAAACTACCGGCAGTTCTGGCTGCAAATGCCATCACTCCCAGATGTCCCTGAGGTCACCCACTGGCCACTTCAGAAAGGACACTATGGTGTTATTGTAACACTGCCTTGAAGGTGAAAGCACTAATTACACACACAACTGGGAGCACAACTTCCAGCTCTTTTTTTTCCTATTTTTTCCTAGCAGGAAGCAATTTTCCTTTCCATTTAGCTACCCATCACCCACTGTCAGGCGCTGGACTCACAACCTAGTGAGAATTGGGTTTCTTTCCACATTTCAAAGAAGTCCACAGCAGCTATGAAAGGCAAAAAGTGGGATTTACTAGCTCAGAAAGGTTTGAAGTGGGTTAGTGACAGAATCCATGCCCTGGAGGTACCCACTGGTCAAAGAGACAGGAGATTTCTACCAGGTTTCACAGAGGATTGAGGTGGGTTTAAACTAAAACCAAACTCCAAGCAAAGCTTGAAAGCCATTGCTTTGCCAATCCACCAAATGGGTGGAGTGGGAGAGAGCAGAGACTGAAGGCCCCAAACCACTGTCATGGAGCAGTTGCAAAAGCACCTCTTGGAGCACATGAACACTCCATGATCCACCAAAAGCAAGCAGATCCCAAGCTGGATCTGGCTGGCACTACACGCTCCAGTCTCTATTACGCAAGACCCTGTACAAGACACACCCAAAGGAACCTGCTGGCAGAGGAGGAGAGGTGGGGAATGACCAGAGGAAAAAGGAGACAGCCCCTGCCTGTGCAGGAATCCTCACTCCAAAAAAAAAACCAGCTTAGAAAGGGAACCAGAGGAAAGGGACTCACAACTGGAACAGAAACAAGAGAGAAGCCTTAACCTGAATTAGTATCTTCATAGCTAATAAAAAAATAGGTCATGATCTCACCCTTAGTGCTGCTTTCCAATACTAGACATACTGAAGGGGTTTTGATTTAAAACTTTCTTTGCTCAGTGTAATGCAAACAATGGCACAAATAAATACACGCTCGCTCTCCTTCCTCACAGGTCAGCTGCTCGCGCACGCACCGCCGGCTCCTCGCCCCCACAGACACCCTCGGGTGCACACCCAGGACAGGAGGCTGCTGCTCCCCTTCCCAGGCTGTATTTGGTTTATGCTACAGTACTAATACTCTGAGTCAAACAAAACAAAACAAAACATGAGACTTAGCAGTAACACCTTATCGTTATTTCAATGTGCTAAATTAGTCACAGCTCAATTTCAGTTTGTTTTTTTTTTCTTTTTTGTTTTTTTTTTTATAAGTTTACACAAAAATAATCAGAAAACAGATTAAATCTTAAGATATTTTTAATAAGTGCTCAGTTAAGAATTGTGTGAGGACTTGGGGAGGACTGCAGACAGCGACAGGGTGAGTTACACGACAGCACGAGGAACTTCCTTCCATGGTCCTGCCTGGCTCTAGGCAATTGTCTATCCCAGAAACACCAGGGAGCTGGAGCTACAGGAGCTCAGAGAGAGGAATTCCTAACTGCTTAGCGCTGAGCACACGCCGTGGAGCTCATGGAGACAGACAGACAGACAGACATCTCAACAGAGGATGGGCAGAAATACAGCAGAGAAGGTGCTGCTGAGGGTGTTTCTGGATGGGTCCCGCTGGCGAGGCAAAGCCACAGAGATGAGCATCAGGGGGAATCCAGCCCAACCCATCGCTGAACCGAGCTTCTCTCAGCATTTCTTTCACTATTCAGGTGACAGACTGGACTAGGCCAAGATGAGAGTCCTCAAATATTCAGCAAGACTCAGACCTTTCTAGAGGTGCAGGGTTAGTGCTGCTCAACTCCTGCACTGCCCCAAGCACAGACCTGGGGCAGGGGTACAGGACAGCACAGACCCCAGGGAAGCAAAACAGGGTGGTTTTGTATTTTTTTTTCTTTTTTTTTTTTAATGGAACCCAGCCCTTAAGGCGACAAGTGACTACACAAGGCAAATAAATACACAGCAGAGCCTTAAAGCCAGTAAAACAAACTGGAAACTTTGCTATTAGCCTTCAACTTTTTGAAAATAATAATAATAATAATAAAAAAGGAAAAAGAACATTTCTTCCACCTTCATTTTCCCAGCCCCAATATCCAGTTTGTTCAACACTTTAAAGCTCAGGAATGCCCCAGCTCTTCAGCAGGGGAGCTGGAGGCAATTCCAACTTTTGGCAAGCAGTTGGGAGACTCAACAGAATTAAAAATAGGAACGTTGGAGGACTAGATGTTGGGCACATCTGTAAACATGTTATGCATCTCAAAGTTACACACACCTGCAGAGGTGGTACAAGTTTATAGGTGAAACAGAACTATTTGCGACTGGCCAACCACACATTTCTGAACCTGGACTGATACAATACATGATGACTATATAGTATCACATTCAGTATTATACTATATAGCTCTGGATACATCAAATGGAGTAGGCAATCCATAGTCAAATGTTTAAGCGTGGCAGAAAGCGAGCGTCTTACACAAGGTACAGAATTTCAGTTTCATTGTCCCACCATGAACTCAAGTGTCTCACTCAGGAACAATCTTATTAAAAGTACAAAAACAATTAAAAAAAACCACATGCTACATACTCCTACTAAAGAAAAAAAAAAGAAAAAAAAAAAAAAAAAGAAAGCGATAGAATCATAGAACATTCTGAGTTGGAAGAGACCCATCAGGATCGAGTCCAACTGCTGGCCCTATGCAGGACACCCCAAGAATCCCACCCTGTGCCTGAAAGCATTGTCCAAACTCTTCTTGAACTCAGACGACTTTGGTGCTGTGACCACTTCCTTGGGGAGCCTGTTCCAGTGCTCAACCACCCTCTGGGTGAAGAACTTCTTCCTGCTATCCAACCTAACCCTCCTCTGACTCAGCTTCAGGCTACGCCCTGTCACTGGTCATGAGAGTGAAGAGATTGGTTCCTGCCTCCCTGCTGCCCCTTGGGAGGGTGTTCTCCCCTCAGTCTCCTCTTCTCCAGCTGAACAAACCAAGTGATCTCATAAGGCTTCCCCTCCAGACCCTTCCCCATCCTCATGGCCTCCTTGGGATGCTCTCTAATAAGGGTCTTTTTAATGTTGTGGTGCCCAGAACTGCCCCAAGAGCTCGAGGTGAGGCCAGAGCAGAGCAGGACAGGTCCTGCTGGGCCTGGTGCCCCCCAGGACATTGTTGAGCCCCCTGACTGCCAGGGCACTGCTGACTCAGATCCAATGGGCCATGGACCAGGAGCCCCAGCTCCCTTTCCATGGTGCTGCTCTCCAGCCTCCCAGTGCATCCAGGGCTGCCATCCCAGGTGCAGAATCTGACACTCACCCTTGTAAACTTCAGACAGTTGGTGATTGCCCATCTCTAAATTTGTTGAGGGCTCTCTGCCCTTGAGGGTGTCAATAGTTCCTCACAGTTTGGTGTGTCAGCAGAATTAGTATCTCTCTGAGTCCTGAACCCAGATTGTTAAGGAGATGTTGGAGAGAAATGGTCTGAGGATGGAGCCCTGTGGGACCCTCTGGTGACCGGACAGCAGCCCCATGTCTTGATGGACACATCTAAGCACAAAGGACATTCCAAAATTTTGGGTTTATCTTTTCCTCCTAATGCCCCAGAGGGTCCAGTCTCATTTTAGGAGACACCGACTGCTGCTGATTTGAAAAGCCAGGATTAGGCCACCAACACCCACGATGAGCACTGGGTACCTGGGGAGCTGGGGCTGGCCAACAAACCCATTTCTGCTTTAATCATTTCTCACTCTTGCACTGGACCCTGTGAACTTTCCACCTTTTAAAAAAACCCAGAAAAACTACCCGACCCCCAGATGATTGGGACACATTACACAAGCTGCAATGGGACAGAGGGGTTACACAGCTGGAGCCTGCACTCTGCTCAGCCTTCCCTACCACTGCTAGGAAGCTTTCCTTTCCCTGGGATTATTTTTTTTTTTACTTTTTTTAAATTATTATTTTCATTCCTAAGTCCTCCTTTTTTTTTATTTTTTTTTGTAATAAAATATATTTTTATTAAGAGATAATTAGAAGCAGAGCCCGGAAATACACAGACTGCATTAAAATATAAAAGAGCATTTCCAAGGGGCAGGAAGCCCAGCCATTGGCCTTCTATGGACAAATTGAAAAGGATTCAAATTCCCATTTTTTTCTTTTTTTTTTAAACTTTTTTCATTTTTTTGTTATTTTGAATTTTTTTTTAAGAGAAAAAATAATTCAGGAAGGGTGAAAGTTAGCAGAACTCAATTCCTCTTCAGTTTTCCAATGAAAATGGGAAAAAAATCCAGCACATTTAGTGTTAGGAGACAGACAGAGCAAATATGAAGCACCTACAGTTGAAAGCAGAAGATAGTTTTTTTTGTCTTTTTTTTTTTTTTCTTGCTCCCAGTAATACAATGGCATTAAACTGTGGGAACAGTAAGGTTTTTTTGTTTTTGTTTTTTTTTTCCCCTCCATATTAAATGCCTAAACAGATTGCTTATTTTTCCATGTTGTCTTTTAAAATGAAATAACTCTTCAGTTGCAATAGTCCAACGTGTAACAGGAGCCAGGTCAACTGTGTGACTTCACCATGCATCCTAGAACTGCAGTATTTACCATCTTTCCCTCAGCAGAATGATCCTTTTAAGACAATATCACCAGCATAGGATTGCTGCTTAACTCCTGGCAAAACATGCGGATTATAATTCTCTGGAAAAAAATAAAAAAGAACTCTGCAAACTTCAAGGCGTTTCTCCAGCATTCAATGGAAAACAAATCAGAAGAAAAAAAAAAAAAAAGAAACCAAACAGGGGAGGTGGAAGGGAAAGAGGAGATGAAGGATGGTGATTCATCCTGATTTCCCTGTGATTAGTGTGTCACTACAGTCACAGAACAAGAAACAGAAACCTTGTCAAGTGGAAATGCCTCTCCAGTGGGTTGCTGTTGCCCATGTAGACGACAGCAGGAACTTTGAAACCGGGCTTGTAATTGAGTCTGTATTCCTTAATCACTTGCATTCACTCTTTAAACAAAAACAAAACAAAACAAAAATGGAAAAAAAAAAAATCTATTCAGTACCGGAGATTAAATAATCACGTGTGTAGTCTCGTTGAAATAAATTTTCAGATTCCTTAAGAAGTCTAATTACTTTCAGTTGCCATTTTTAAATAACTATATATATATTTGTATATATTATCCTGTGATTCTAGTTATGGTTCCTCTGCTGCACTGAAGATTTAGAAGGAGCATAAAAGCCTTTTTGTCCCCCACGAACAGCACAAATGCTGCAGAAAGGTTATAACAGGCAGTCTTGTCTTGCTACCTTCATTGATCCGGGCGATCCATGGCTTCATCATAAGTGATTATCCTTTTGGGATCTGGAAAGAAAGCAGAATCCTAAGTTTTGGACAAGGTACTTTCAGGTCCTGTGGCTGAAAATAAACACAAAGTACTTGGCTGTTAACAGATTTTTCCTTCGGATGTCCCCCTCCTGCCAAGGCACCCCAAGGCCAGGCTGGGTCCCCCAGAGCAGAGCCTGCTCCCCACAGCAGCACACAGGTCTCCACATACAGCTCTTCCCACCAAAAAATCTCCTCTCAGGTGACTTGAGGGGATACACCAGAATTTAAAACTTATTATTGGACGTGACACCCAACACCAGAAATAGAAAGCAATTTTGTATACACATAAGGAAGAGTCATTAAATCTAATTTGACACTGGGTTTATTGCTCTTCTAGAGGCTCTGCTTCTCTCCAAGCAGCTCACCATCATAGCAAAGCTTTTTGTCCTGACTTTCAGTGATCTGAAACAGAGATAAATCCAGACTACAAAGCACAGGAGCTGAAGAACTGAACCAAGGCATCTCCAGACACAGAGAAAACCTGCTCTCATTCATCCCCCCTCACCACAGACAGAGCAATTTCGTACATTTATCCCTTCCAACAGCCTTACCTTGCTTCTGCAAATTCCAAACCGCTTCCATTTCTGTGGAGGCAAAAGGAGACCATTGTTATTATGCAGATTGATGCTGCCATTAGAGACCACTCCAAACACACTTTAATTTTCCAAGTGTGGCAGTTGTGCTGGGGCTTTCAAATAGAGCCAACCCTCCTCCCACCCAGCAGCACAGCTCCAGCCCAACACAAATTTGATACAAATATTCCAGCAGTAAAAGGCAAAGGGATAGCTGTAACATGGTCTTAAGGGTCAGAGAGCCAAGCTGAGCATCAGAAATGTCATCACCATTCACCAGTCCTACATATCACAATCTAACTTCAGGCTTTACTACTCTGACTCCAACGCTGCTCTGCACATTACAGCCTCAACAAGGAGCCCGGAGAGATGATTTTTCCAAGTTGATGCTTAGTGAGTGTGAAATGAGAAGTGCTGGACACAGCGAGCTGCACATGGTTCACAGCATGCGTGCGCAGAGGCACCAGGCAAGGGCTGCTGCGAGAACGTCTCTGCAGAGCTGCTGCCAACACACTGTCCAGGAGCAAGGTGTGATGCTCCACACACCTGGCTTGCAGGTCTTCCCACAGGTTACCTCTACAACACGTGTGCAGGCTAAAGACAAACCCTTCCCAGTTCTCCCTGGACATGCACATGCTTTTGTTTACCTAAGAAACAGCAGCAAAGTTAAATGTTCTTTTCATTAACGCTGAGAAACAAAAGGCTCTTCCTTTAAAATATCCCCCAAACAAAGATGCATCTTTAGAGAACCATTCAAAATAACTACTTTGAGCTGCTATCACGTTGGAATTTCATGAGCTAGAATATTTTTTAAGATGCTGACTGTACCCTGTGCCCAAGTTCAATAGACAAAATTATAGAAAATGGGTATTAGTCGGAACACAATTTTCCAAGAACCACTTTTGAGTCTCTTTTCTGCCAGAAAGGGTGACAGGACCTTGGTAGGGGCTAGGAAAAGGGAATGGTAAGAGATTATCAGGTCACATGGGATGTGCAGTAAAGCACAGAACAAGGCAGTGAGTAAACTAACCAGCACAGGAAAGGAGGAAGAAAAAGCCCTACAAAACCCACGGCCTCAGCACGATGTGTGCCAAGTGTCACCTCCATCAATCGCCTCCCTTCTCCAACCCTTCATCTGTCCTTTGTCCCCTACAATCTCCAGCTCCCTGGGGCAGGAAATTGCATGCAAATAAATATTGCCAGCCCTTCTTGCACAATTAAACCTTTTGTAAGGAAGGCCCTGACAAAATTTTACGAGGTCTGTTATTTTTGCGTCAGGATAGTAACAGCAACACTTTGCACTTCTATTGGGGAGCCCTAAGTGCTTTGGGAATAGTAGCCAGCCTCTAACACCCCAGGGACAGAAGCAGGCTGGCGAGGGACTGCCTCCCTCATCTGCCAGATGCAGATTCCCCTGAAGTAAAATGAACCAGCTACTAAAATTACCTCCTGTGGAGTGAGTTTTCCATTCAGCGCAGTTTGATGCATCATTTCCTAACAGCCAAAGAACATCTCCCATTTTAATAGCTTTCCCCAAAGGCACAGGACAGAAAACTACTCTCAAGTTGTTGGTTCCTGCACATTAGAGCAATGCTTGAGCATGAAATACAAGGCAGAGCTGAAGCACCATATCCCCATGCACAGACCATTGTCTTGTGCACCTCATTTGGCTTTAACTGCTCTGGACACCACAAGGATGTGAACTCCACGTATTAAGAGTATCTGACAATAAGACAAACAGATATACAGACATACAAACAGAGATACTGTTAAGAACATAGCAAAAAATTACTAAGTTGACAAAACTCTGTTTTAAAAAAAATCTAACAAAGCTAAGCCTTTTCAGACTTCAATTTCCCTTCTCCTCCTTCAGAGAGGGAGGGTGGTGTAAAGTGTCCTGGACATCCCAGACACCTGGACACACTGGCTGGCAAATGCTCAGCAGGACCAAGCTACAAAACCAAAGACCATCAGCAAACAATGCAATAACAGCTCTTACTAAATATCACCTGCCACCAGCAGAGCAAGGTCCTCCCCTCCACCTGGCAGCACAGGGACAGGGGACAGCACACTGACCAAGTGAAACAACTTCACAAGGGAAAAGAAAGTCCTAGGCTAACTGCAGCATAAAATTAGGGAAAAATGGGATTTTTTCAATCTTAAAATGGAATTGTATGATTTATTCTGCTTTACTTGGTAATACAGTTAAGTTTTCCTACCAGCTTGAGGCTGTGATCACCTGTGACTGACAAAAGGCACTGGGACAAATGCATGGCCACTGTCACAGGGTGGCTTGGTGACTGACCTGGTGGACAGGCAGCTCAGCAGAGCCACTGCTGCCAATGCCTGGCTCCAGCCAAGTAGAAGGAAGGACAGCCCCCAAGAACTGGGCATGCAAGAGGCCTCAAGCCTGCTTTCAGCTCAGAGCTCTTTTCTTGAGCCTCTTTTCCCCGGATAAAGCTTCCAGAGTGAGTTTAAGCAAAGGACTCCTACAGCTGCTCACCCTGGATGAGAACAGGGGTATCTTCACCATCAGCTTGAATCCAGTCTCTCAGATACTGCCCCAAAACTGCTGCTTTCCAAAGAGCTGCCCAACAGGAGCCACCATTCCCAAAACCAGACACGGGGCTGGGGAAGCAGCAAACTTTCTTCTCAAGTGGACTCCAACCCATCTGGAGAAAACGCCACCAACAAACCCTTGCACAACCCAGCATCAAAGCCAGCCCTGCTCCAAGCCATGGGCAGAACCAGGTCACCTCCTGTGCCCCTTCCAACCTCTCCTTTTCCAGGATATTTTTTTTACAATTATCTGGATTCTCCACAGCCCTCAGGCTTGTGGCTTGCTAAGGAACTGCCTGGGGCAGACAGTCCCAGCCACATCCACCTAAACCACTTTTTCTGGGGACTATCAGTGAAACAAAGGGTCACTGGAGGAAAGCTTTGATGTCAGGAAAAGACTAAGGCACACTCTGGTGAATTGTGCTGGGATTCCTCATAGGTCAATAAACTTTACAGCAGGACTGGTACATAACCTTGGAGGGGAAAAAAGTGTTTCTGAAATAACTTGCTAAGACAGGCACTTTTACACACATTTTCCTTGCTAGAGAGGCAGCCCCTGCAAACAGAAATGTCTGCACAATGCCTTGCTCCTACTTCACTGTCCTTATAAATCCCAAAATTGTCCCTAAAATACAACAGTAAAGAAATAACAAGAAGAGAGCATTTTTGTCTGCTGTTTTGTTTGTCTGATGTTTTGTTTGCTGTTTGTACCTGCAGGACAATGATTAAGTATAGGGATTGCCCTGGAAACAAAGCAAAGAATAAGTATTCCATGCTGTGGAGACACATGGCTGTACAGCATACACTGTACTCATCCTGACAACTGGAAAGAGCAGGGACTGGAAGGAGAATTAAATCAGCTTCTGCCCCACAGCTCAAGCCCCACAAGGCCATAACCAACAGAGAGAGCTCTAACCCCTTCCCACCACAGGGGGATGGGAAACCAAGGCTTTTTTTCCCCCCTCTCCTAATGTAAAGGATGAAAATTGCTGAATTCACAGCTCTGCTATTTCTTCTGACCCAGTTCACCATTCCGGCGAACGCCACTCCTGGCTGGCCCACGCTGCCTTGCTCTATTTTCCATGCTGCTCTCCTGCTTCTTCATGCAAGCAGAGATGCTGCTGCTGCTGCAACTGAGTGCTCAGAAGGAACAAAGCAGCAGCACAGGCAGAAATTCAGGGGCAAGAGCAAGGGAAACCCTGCAGTTCCCTCTCCTCCATCCATGTGGTCTCCGCTGCTCTGCAGCTGAGCTGGAGGCCTCGATTATTTGCTTTTTAGCTCAGGACAAGCAAATGATTGAGCTTCCCACCACAAAGCTTGCTATCTAGAGCTCAGTGTTAGTGACAGCCTGGCCTGGGAGACTGCAATTGCCTGAACATGACAAAATTCTCCAAAGTGTTGACAATTATTCTGATATGAAGTGCTTCATCCAGCTGTCTTTAAAAGAAGGACTAAAGCAGTAAGAAGATGCTGGTTTTGATGCAAGCAAAGCTGACGTACACTCAGCCTCCTTATCTGAAGGACCAAAATATCTTCAAGAATCAGTTTTACCTCAAAAAGATAAGGATTTTGGCAATGCCACACCAGGGCAGAAGTTCAACTTCTAACCTAGACAGGGGACAATGACTTGAAATGAGAGCACTACTCCTTCCTGGGCCTTCAGGTCTCCCGTGTGAAGCCCATCCCTGTCTCCAAGCACATCCAGAGCAGGCCCACCAGTGCTGAGCTAAATCAGATCTCCCTTGGCAAATCAGATCTGTCACTCGTGAGCGTTTCAAGGCACCACCACAAACTGCAGGCAGCACGGGCTGTCAGTGAAGGCAGCCACACTGAAGGATCGTGTTTTACACTCAGGCAGATCAGATGATCAAGGGAGTCTTTCTGCCCTTTAAACAGAGGGGGAAAAAAAAAAAGAAAGAAGCAAGGCCTGAAGCAGAGGTACAATGAAACCAACAGGAAAAGCTTCCCAGAAGAACAAGAGAGTGCATCATCATCCTATCCTGAATGTTCCCAGTGCTCTGACTTCTGGAGAAAAAGCAGTCAGGGAACAGGCAAAGGAACATAGGAATCCTGCACCAGGAGCTCTCTGTGCTCTGCAGCCACCCAGCCCTGCCAGCACTCAGGGACACTGTGGTGAGTTACAGGAGCACTGTACCAGAGCCAGCTCTCTCTGGGTGCCACCTCCTCTATCCATCTTTCCACAGGGAAGCTGTGAAGCAATTACAGTTTAAAATGTCCTGTGCAGTTGCTGGGCAAACCAAGCACAGGAAAGCCTGGTTTGCTGGAACAAAGCTACTGAATAGGCTGGAGGCTTTCCCAAATAAATTTACAGTCCAGGATGAGGATCCACACAACCTGGTCACAATTGCAGGCACAAACAGTGGAGGAAAGAGCGTGCACATTTGTCACATTCAAAGCACTGCAACCACTCGCGTTACAGCTCATTCTTCTCTGCAGCCTCCAGGGCTTCATCCTTGCACTAAAACAGTGCACATGGAGCTCAGGGTAGGGAACACACCAGAACCCCAGAGTGCTCAACACTCACCCCTGTCCTTGTCCTGTGATCGTTTCTCTTTGTGTTCATAACCCCAAGGGCAGGGCAGATGCAAAGATCAAACTACCGAGACTTTGCTCAACAGCAAACAGATCAATCTGAGAGGGAGAAGTTCACGAGATTCTCAAAATCAAAACCAAACAGTCTGAGTGCCCGGAATGCCCTAACACCGACCCAGGCAAACCCACAGGCTCTCCCCAGCAAGGAGGAAAAGGCAGCTCATGAAAAGGAACCGAGTGAAACAGCTCTTTTCCTACTGCAGAGGAACTGGCTGGCTTGGAGCTGGACCTCAGGAAAAGAGCCCAAGATAAACGGAGAGCACAGTGTGGGAATTAACCCCCGCACTGCTGTCCTGCAATCACACCCCGCAGTTCTGCTTTTGAGGCATTTCACAGCCAGGGTGGGCTCTGCTGCAGGACCACGGCCATGAAGAGAGGACAGGAGACACCTTCCCTCCAAATATCCCTTAGCCCATCTCACCCCAAAGATGAAATGCAACACCCACCATCATTACAAAAGTACTAAGACCTGGCCTGATCTCTTGCTTTGTAAAGCTTTTGAACACTAAATAGGAGAAAGACAATCCCAAGGTGTTTGGAGCACCCCATCACTGCATTAATGGCAATGCTGATTAGAAACGGCCATCATCTTTTACCCCTAAGTAACACCCTGACGATGGCACATACATAACGTGAAAAAGAAATTAGCAGAGATGAGTGCCAGGGCAGGATCGGGTATCCCCAGGCCATCATGAGGATGTTTGCTCTGGATGCTCAAAGCGAGACCATTCACATGCAGAAGAAGAGCAGAGAACAGTATTTTAACGGGTGCTTTAAGTGGCCATTCTTGCCAACAAATGTAATTAACTCCTGTGTTTGGAAGAGCTCAATGCAGCCAGGCTTTGAAGTTAACACCTCCTTGAGAGGACATGGGATGGGAGTGTTCTTTATTTTCCTGTTGTTCCTATTGTTTCACTGAGGTCTGCCTTTCACAGCAAGTGAGAATGGGAGAGCTGATGAGCCTTGCTGGCAGCACAATTGCTGCTCCACAAGTTCAGGCTGACAACACAGAGGCAAACAGAAGTCTAGGAAATATTTGCAAAATTAAGAAAAGGATCTCCCAGGATTTTCTTCCATGTTATGCTTTCTGATGGGAAGCTGGGATTTAAACTGCAAGCAGACACAAAAAACGAGACTAGAAAGCCTGCTTTAATGCTGGAATAAACTGAGCAGAAGGGAGAGGACCAGATAAAATCAATTGATGAACACTGTTCTCAAGAATACTAGAGCTTGAAATGTTAACATCTTGAGAGGGAGATGACCTGGAAAAAATATTTTGAGCTATTATTTTTAAATGACTGGGCTTGTTACTGTTACAGGAAGGCATTCGAGTTTATGCCATACAGAGTTTGTGAAGTGGTAATTCAAGAACTTTGCAGAGGGTGAAAAGAGCAAATTTGCCAAAGCCAAGTAGCCACTCTCTGCAGAGGGGAGCAGGGAGAGGGAAGGGGGTCAGAAAAAGGAACTGCCCCAGTGTTGGTCAAGAGTGAGTAAATAACACTGTGACAAAAGGGAACACCCAACCAGGCTCCTGCTAACACTGAGCCAGCACCAAAAGCCAAAAACTGCCTTAAGTCCTCAGAGCTTCTGGGGCTGAGGCTAAAGCAGAAAGCAAGCCATGCCACAGGCTTCCCTCTCTTCGTTCCCATTTTAAAGTGTCTGTATCACGTTTGAGTCATTTCAATCTCAAAAAAAAAAAAAAAAAAAAAAGGAAAAAAAGGGAGCTGGACTACAAAGGACTTCATGAAAGCAAATAAAATCATCTGAAAGATGTGGCCTACAAAGACAAGGAGAGAATTTAATCTGCAGCTCACAGAGGAGCTGATAAGAAAAGATTGGTCTTGCTGCTGCCATAATACTCAGGGGCAGGGAAAAAGTGTGTGTGGGGCACACTTAGAAAAATAAATCACACCTACAGTCGTAGGAATAATTTCTTTTTCCTTCAAAGCCATGATTTCGTGGTCTGATCCGCCCAGGGGAGAAGCTGCAACACTTTGGTGGCAGAGGTGTGAGTACAGACTGTGAAGCCTTCACAGAGACAGAATATCACCTGGTACAGCTGGAACAGAGCAGCTGCAACCACACATTTAACTCCTTCCAATGCTCGGTGGCTTACGAGGACCTGCTAAGTATCATCTCTCTCAACATCACTCATGCTTGTCCGCGGGAACAGGGAAACAAATACCGCTTAACATTAATTAAACAACCCTTTGAGTAACTTCCCCAGACCGTTATTGCCATGAGAGGATATGCAAAGCAAAGAAAAGGGTCATTTTTAAAACAATTAGAATTGCTGGAAGGAACATACCATGTTAGAATATTGCACTTCTAAAAATAAAATAAAAAAAGAAGAGAACGCCCTTAGGCAGCAAGTTAAGCCATTACCTTTAGTGTGATATAGAATAGCAGCCCTCAGGTCAAAAGAACCCCAGCTATCTTTCCTTTCTAGGCCTCTCTGGTACCTCTGTTCTTTGGCGGAGGCTAGCAAATTGTTCGTAGGAGAGGCCAGAGGATTCTCTACTTCATAGTCTTTTGAAAGAAACACTAAAGCACCTTGGCTACCGGTGTCTGCCTTTTGTAGGTCACCTGTGTGATGCGACTCCAAAGCTAAGACACCACCCTCAACAGCAGTCCCAGGCTTAAGAACAGCACTAAGAATTTGAGGGCTAGTCCGTTTATCCAGCTCATAAGCCTTAGGAAACACAGGTTGTTCAGTTCCTGAGGGAATGATTTCAGGACACTGTGAAACCAAAGTGGCAGGATATTCCCCTTGAAATGTCACTTCCATTAACTGATTATCCGCAGATTTCCCCACAACGGTTTCAGGTCCAGCACTGGGCTCGTTTATGAAAGACAAGCCCCACTGATTCTGGAAGATATCCCCCAGGTTCTGCTGATTCGTCTGCGAAGGGAAATCGACTTGCGCTGTCCCCAGGAGCACAGTTTGCATATTTGAAGGGTAGATAAAAAGGCCAGATTTCTTTTGTTCGAGGGCTGTCGAAGTTGTACTCATGTCCTGGGGTACAGACTCAGAGGAGGAGGAGGTCGATGGTACAGTACTAGCAGCAGTGGAGAGCAGTGGCTGGGCCCCTGGGGAATACACACTTCCATCAGTCCCAGCAAGGATTGGCCCGTTGGAGAAGCTGGCAGAGGTGACAGATTTCATAGCAGACATGGGGACTTGGGACAGTCGACTTGATGTTTGGGCCTGAGTTTCCCCAGCAGATGATGAAGACGATGAGGATGACGTGGATGGGGTTTGAGCTGCTTTGTTGAGGTTTTCTTTAACTTTACTTGCATAACTAATTTTGGGAACAATTTTAGCACTGCTATTGTCCACTGGAAAAACTGGGGGTGGTTTAAATAAGGTCCATGAGTCCTCTTTAGATGTAGCCGACGATGCGTGCTTCCCTTTGGGCCGGTCATCAAACTTCTTGCTGCTAATCCCAGGTTTGGCATCAGAGTTTTTCCGTGGTACATCCCCGAGCCCAGGCTTTCCCCTGCCTGCTCCACCAGCCCCAGCCTCATATTTCCAAACAGGCTTAGTATTTTCAATTCGGTTCCCCTTTTGTTCACTATAATCAGGCTTGAAACTCTCAAGTTCCTGTTTCAAGGTTGGTGCGCTGACCTCCTGCTGCATTATTTTGTCCTGCACTAGATTCAAGTTCTCACAACCCTTGGCACTGTTGCGCCTGCCTTTCCGTTTTTTAGGTGTGGTATATCCACTCTCGGAGCCGCTGCCATCGTTGTCGGCCCCTTTGCCTACGTAGCCATTTGTGATGTAGCTGGAATTGTTGGTCACCACGCCGTTTGGAATAGACACTCCCTCTGGCTTGTCTGAGGACTGGTTTTCTCTGTGTTTGTTTTCGTAGGACTTCTCATTCTTTTTGTCCATGCTATTTTTCTGAATGAAGTTCTTGGTTTTGATTCCAGCTTTCCCCAAAGCACCGGCCTTCACAGTTTGCTTTGGGGTGGCATTAGAATCTACGAGCTGCTGGCTGCCATTGGGTACCCTGGATCCTGGGGCGGTGGCTTCATCAGAGCACAGGCCCTTCAGGGACACTTCTCGTTCTCCTGCGTTACCATTCAGCTCTCCGTAGCCTAGAGGGAAGCCAAAAACAGCAAAAGGCAAGAATTAGAATGTGAAATGTTAGACTTGTCATTGCAGAAAGCTGCAGTCAGCCCCAAACATATCCAGTTTCCTCATGCAGACGTTTTAAAATAGGAAAATATCTAGTCTCTGAGGTAAAGCTGCATAAATTTATTTGCTGGAACGCACAGCAAGAAGGGTTAAGCAGGAAGGACCAGCCATGACTGCCTCCCGCATAACTGAGTGACATACAGATAACATAACAAAGCAAAAGAAAATACAGATACTATGCCAGGAAAATATACTGTACTGAAGATCACTGGCAAGCTGGAAAGATATTTCATCAGCTACTATTTCCAGGTCACAGAGAGGAAAAAATTAATTCCCAGGATGCTTCAAGACAGCGGGATCCACTGCCTTTGTGACAAGATCTGTGGAGGCTCAGGATACACACTGTGAACAAGGGACAACTCCTACCGTCTCCATCAGCTCCTGGGCCTGCAACACCAGCAGACCTCCTCCCAAATGCCATCTCAGTTAAGGAGCGGGGGAAAAAAAGCACATTATTTCCAAAAGGACACGTGCAAGTCCAGCTGGAAGATGGAGGGAAGAAAACGTGGCCACATCTCCACCTCACTGCATTTCAGAATAGTGACCAGCACCTCCCTACACATGCTCCTGAGCACTGAAAAGGTGACAGAACTAAGAAATGCATCCCTGCAAGGCCCTTCTGCTGCCACTAGCAATGGGTCTCTTCCCCACTGAAAAACTTGTATTTCAGAGTCCCCAGGAGAGCTGGTATGAGCCTCAGACCCAAGAAATAAAGTACTTGCTGGGGGTTTCAATTCATAAAACCATGAGATTGTGCTGTAGACTGAGCTTTACTCTTCCCTTCTGAAGTTCACTCCAGGTCCCATGGTTCTGGGAGTGCAATTCAAGCAGAGCTGGAAGCCCAGGACAGTCCACACTGAACCACCTCAACTTCCTCTTTGCTTTTTCCTTTTTAAACATCTCTGGCCAGAGGCCTGCTGCTTTCGAGGACCCTGGCTAAAGCCCCAGGAGAAGCCCTGGAGCCCCAGTGGGGACGGGGAGAGCACACAGAGCCCGGCCCCACAAACACACTCCAGCTGCAGAGGGATCCCTCCTGCACCCGCTGCTCCTCTGACTCATCCGTCCTCCTTCCCCAGGCTGGGGAGCCTCACATCCCCCACAGCCACTGACCCACCTAAGGCTCCATCTGCAGCCACGGTGGCACCGAGTCAGCGCAGAGAGGGAGTCCCTCAACAACTGGAGCGGGCAAAACTCCAGCTTGGGAGAAGAATGTTTTTGTTGTTGCTGATGTTGTTGAAATTAAGTGCTGTAACTAAAAAATCATTGTTACCCTCACATCCTGGAGCCTCAGATGTCTGGCAGATGTAACAGCTCAAGTTCTGTGCAAGTCGGGAACACAAGAATCCTTGTAGGAATCTTTACAGAAATTCCACAACTGAGTTTGCCGAGGGGGATCAAAAAGGATTTTACTACATGCAAGTATCTGTAACCACCACAACTTCCACTATATCTTTCAAATATGTTGTTAAGAAAATTAACCATAAATACTTCACCCCAGAGAGAACTAGAACGGTGGGATCCTCTAAAATGAAGTATTTCAGAATAGCATGAAGAGGAAGCCCTTTTAAGAGCAGTGTTACAGCTGACCTTGTATGACTCAAGACTTCTGACACCACTTGTTAATGAAACAAAACAATAAGAGTGGTCATAAGACCATTGCAGATGAGGAGTGAAAGAATAAAATGAAGAACAAAATCCATTTCAGTAAGTCAGTGTGTCAGCAGTTTCTAGTTCCAATTCTCAAGCATTCACAGCTCAGCTGCCTGAGTTTTCTCCAAATCAACATTTGGCACAGCTGGCCTTGGCCTGGACACGGAGGTGCAGCAACCAAAATTTAGGGGAGAGGAAAAAAACCAGGACGGTAAGAAGAACAGGTGAAGAGGATCTGGCAAGCTCACAAACCGTTTCAGAGCTGGGAAGGGAGGGGTGCCAGCCTAGGCACACATTAAAACCCTGGGCACGCTGCAAACAGTGAAATGACTTCTCAACTTATTTTTGCTCGGTAACTTATTTTAGCGTGTGCCCGATCAGGTCCCTCCCTGCCTGCCCAGGCTGCACATGGGGCACTGCCGACCCCGCTCTGCTGCTACCAGGCCCCCTCCCACCTCCCGCCTCGTTATGTAAAAGGAAAATTCAAGGGAAGGGAAAAAAAAACCAAAATGTACGCGGCACTCGGGTCGCCTGGCGGCCACGCACTCGCTGTGACCCCGCAGAAACCCCCCCAGAGGGATTGCTGGAGCCGGGGAGCCCCCCAGGAACGCGGCGGGGGCTCCGGCCCTGCCCGGGATCGGCTCCCCCCGCGCCGCTGACCGGCCACCGCCTCTGCGGCGCTGCCGCCCGGCCGGCGGCGGCTCGGCACGGCCTTGGGGGCCGCAGCCCCGGCCCCGGCGGGGAGGAGGCGGCCGAGCGCCCTGGGCCGGGCCGGGCAGGGCCGCGCCGCCTCCCGCCGCCGCCGGCGGGGCCGGGCCCCTCCGGCTGCTCTGACTCATTGATCCTGGCGCTCATCAATCGCCCGGCCGCCCCCCGCGCCCCCCCGGGGCCCGGCCGGCGGGGGCAGCGCGGCCCGGCCCCACGTGCCGGCGGGCGGCGGTGCCGGCGGGCCCGCGGCTCCCGCAGCCCCAACATGGCGGACAGGAAGCGGCCCCAGCGCGGCGGAGAAGCTTCGAGCCGGGCCGGGGGAGGCGGCGGCGGAGGAGGAGGAGGAGGAGGGAGAGAAGGGGGGCCCCACCGCCGCCCCGCGAAGGTCACAGGCCCCGTCCCGCTGCCCGCTCCAACCTGGTCTCCGCTTCGGCGCCTCCGTGTGCTGCGGGCCGCCGTGCTTGTGCTCGTGGCGGAGCGGCGGCTTAGGCTGGGCTCGGCCGTCGGGCGGCGGCAGGTAGGCGCTCTGCGGGTGGTGGTGGTGGTGCCCGTAGTAGTAATAGTGGTGGTGGTGATGGTGGTGGTGGGGCTGCTCCTCCATGGGGGGCGGCTGGCGGGGCCGGGCCGGGCTGGGCGCTCGCTGCTGGGCCGTGCGGCTCCGGCGCGGGGACGCGGCTGGCGCGGGGGAGGCGGCGGACTGGCAGCGCCCGCCCTGCAATCAGCGAGCGGCGCCGCCGCGCCCGCCCCCCGCCCCGCCCCGCCGCACCGCGGCCGGGGGAGAGCCGGCCCGGCCAGCGCGGACCCGCCCGGCCGCCCCCTCCCCGGGCCAGCGGCAGGTGAGGCTGCCGGGGACGGGCGCGCTTCGCCCCCTCCCCGTGCTAGCGCGGCAGAGCCAGAATGAGCGGCCACGGCGGAGCCGCCTCCGTCCCCGGCCCTCGCCGTTGGAGCGTTCCATAAGCGGCGGGGAGCGGCGTGCGGCCCCGGCGGGCTTTCACCGCAGGGTCACCGGGAGGAGGGCTGCCCGGGATGCCGCAAAGCCGCGTTTTGCCGTCATGAAGCGGGTGAACCGCGCCCCGGGGCAGGTGGAGAGGGTTGGAACAGCCCCAGCGGAGGGGATCTGGGCAGGGATGTGAACACCGTGAGCGCCCGGGCTCCCAGCAGCAGCAGCAGCGCCCCGAATCGCTGCCGGGCCGAGCTGCAGCGCTCCCGCGGCAGCCGGAGCTCACCCGGCTCCAGGGCTCCACCCGCAGCCGCCCGGGCGGACCCGCCGCTCCCCGCACGGACCCAGCCGGTCCCGGAAAGGTGGGCTCGACAAATGCACCTGTCGACCTCCTAGAGAAGCACCGGAGGTTTGACTGATGCTTAACAAAAATCAAAGGTTGATGGGGAAGCCCGAGAGTGTAAGGAGGAGAAGTCTTGAAACTTGACAGAATTTGTAACAGATTTCATACCATTTCAATCTCCGATCATCCCCACCTGAGCATGTTCCGAGGGTGGCAGCTAAATGACCTGAACTCCCGCCTCTGCTCCAGCCAGCCTCCACTGCAGGAGGGCAAGACATTCAACTGCTGTTTCGGGATTCCTCCTCCAAACCAAGGCCCAATTCTCCAGACGGCACTGATACAAAGGGGTTTGGGTTGTATGGATCAGTGAGGAACTGAGGGAGGAGTTAATTAGGAATGTAGGAAAAAGGCAGAGAGAATGGGGAGACCCACGACTGACACAGGCTGGAGATAGAGTCCTGCTCGAACTTATTTGCTGCTCTGGTGTGATTAATTGCCTCCAAATAGTCCCAACAGTGTGCACTGCTGCAAACAGGGAGGAAAAGTGACAAAATAAAATGTGTTCATGTAATTAAAGACTATTACAATTAATGTGTGTAATATAAACGGGCTCCACAGATAGTCCTGAAAACAGTATGGACTTGCTTCTCAAGGCTTTTCCTTGCAGCTTCTCAAGGCTTTTCCTTTTAATCCTCTGTTCTATTTCCTCGCTATTTTAATGAATAAAATTAATGAAGTTCATGTGTCTAGAAAAGCCCTATCAGACTTTGGCACCGTACAAGAGCCCTTGTCTGGAGATTTTACAGTTCCCAAGCTTTATTTTAAGAGAACACGGTTGAAAGTTTATGCCTCAGACAGAGCTTCCCACTTCACCCTCCTCTTTACTACACAGGAGGTAAAGCTTTTCCTTACCAGAAATACCAACTTCGACATTAATACAGAGAGTTTTTTCAAGATTTGAGGTGCCTGAAATATCACAAGTTCTCTGCCAAATCATTCCTGCAGTTTACATTTCTTTCAGCACAATGCAAATCCATTTAAAACGTGATGAAACCATTTAAGCAAGCAATGATGAACTTTGGGCTTTACCCAAACAATAACGGTCCTGGTCCTTTCAAAAGCTGACTCATTGAGTGACCTCACAGTGCTTAGGAGACAAGTCTTAAAATGAGGAGTCGGGCTTTAATCACAGCTGACATTTTATTGGTGGCTTGGAAGAATTTATTTTTAATATAGGGAGTTGGCTTGAAGATTTAAACTTCAAAAGACTCTGAAGAAAGCAAACAATTATAGACAAATCGTCTCCACACACACATACCAGAAATCTGAATACAGAGGAAGGTGGGCTGTCTCTTTGTGAAAGACAAAGCAACTATGTCACTGCTTAGAAGTGTCTTGTTATCAGTATTAGATTATCTAAAGCTTGCAAAAGAGAGAAAAAAAAAATAAAATCCAAAATAATCCAGCCTGGGCCTCATGAAGCATGGGCATCCCACACCCCAGCATGGTGTGTCCACACACGGTGGGCCTTCCCCACTGCCCGTTGATTCCAGTGGCATCCTCAGGGATGCATTTTAAAGGTAAGAGTGGTTCCAGCAGGCAGTGCTGCCCCGTGGCCACACTGGGACATGTCCCCTCCAGAAGCAGGAGTTCCTGTCAATCCCACTCTTTGCCCAGTGTTGCACCAGTTATAATGTGTATTAATATTCAACAGTTCTTCAGGATGTGTTCTCTGGAAAGGGAAGCTGGAGATTTCCGTGTCTGCTCATCTGCAGCAGTTTTCCTCCTTGCTGCTCTTTGGCAAGCCAACAAAGAGGCAATTTTCCTTGGAATTCCACACCCAGTGCCAAGTATTCCCACATCCAGGCACAAAGCTGGGCACAGCCAGTGTAATTTCTAACTCAGTAATTTATTCAAAGCTCTGTTTTATGAAGCTTTGAAGTGGATGGCTTTGCAGAGAACCTGCCATTTAAAGCTGCAAAATTAAGGCAGCATGGAATGAATCAACTGCTACAGGAATCATGAGAAAGTTTTCCTGGAGAGCCTGACCCAGGATGAGTTTTGTATTCATATTAAAATGCAGTTAAACTGAGAAGCTATTGAAGTTATTTTTTCAAGAACAAATTATTTTCTTTCAAAGGCAATCCTCTTTAAAACACTACGTTTAGTTTCCATTAATTGTTTTCAGGTAAGTAAAAAGTGAAATTATAAAATTAATCCATGAAAAAAATAAAATGCTTGCTTTGTAATATTTAATGTGTCTATGTCCTGTTTAAAACTCAAAACTGGGAAACCCCAAAATTACCATATTTATAGATATTGGGAAGGGCTCTTACACAAAATATGTGTGGCATTTATTTACATTTTTTTGCCACAGTGTTTTCATTTATAGCAGGGGTTCAGACTTGAGAAATTCTTCATATTCCAGCACATCCAACTTAACAAAGCACTCCAGCAGACCTTTAGTTCCAAGTAGGATTATAACCACACTGTTCAAAACCTTGCCACGTTTGGCTGCTGGCATCTCATGTGTTTCAGTACAAGGCAGTTGGGATTTACCAGTTGATATTCAAGTGTTGGAATCTCAGAATTAGTTCTCAGAAGCAGTTTAGCCAAGATGGATGACAGGGTACGAGCGCTGCTCACAGCCTGACCACAGCTATTCTCACAGAGCTGCTGCAGTTACATTCAGGTAAGGAGGAGCTTCTCCTTGACTCCATTTTTGTACTCTGCTGTGTACATTATTTATAGGTACAAAGCTGGTCTCTTTAAAGACTTCTCTCTCTAGAGGCAGCTGGATAGTAGGCATTGGGTTAGAGGTCTTAAAAAGCAGCAAAACCCGAAAAATTAAAAAAGGATTTAACCCCCTAGCTGAATTGTAAAAATTTCATATTTTACTCATCTTTCCCATCCCTAGCAATTTAAGCATATCCATTTCAGCACATGCTGAATTATGATTTTTTTTTCTGAAAGCTTAGTTTCCAAATGTCATAAGCACACTATGCTAATCCTTCATTCACTCTCCAGAAAATTAAGGCAGTCTAGCACCAAAAATAACCATAGGGTATAGTTTTGTGAGGCAGCAAAACTGACGTAATGGCTGCTCCCAAAAGGGAAGGTCATCTCTCTCTGCCCTGCCCTCACAGCAACACTACTGCTTCTCAGAACCCATTTGAGAAATTAAACTAAAAAATAATTCTTCAGATGGAAAAGTGCACATTTTTATTCTGGTTAAGCTTCCTAAACTGTTTCACAGAGGAGCCAGACAAATATTAACACCCTGAAGAATGGGCTGTCACTACAGCAGCTCTGGAGTTGCCTTCCACAGCCAGCCTGGCTGCAGGGATGACCTTCTGGGAATTGGGCAGTGGGGACACAGCTGGGGTTGCAGCCACTTAAGCCATCTAATTTTATTTTGCTCATCCTTCAAAGTGTTTTGAGCAAGCTGTAACAGAATGGCTGTGACCAGTGGGACTTCTGGTGGGTACATCCATTGTTTAACAGGACTCAATCTGAGGATCATCCCTGCTGTAAAAACACTGAAGTGTTCACACAGGCATGAGTAACATCTGCTGCCCATGGCTGCTTGCAAAATTGTTTACTAGAGTGCAATTGTATAAACTGGAGGCAGCTTCTTGGACACATACAAGAAGCAGAATGGGAAGCAGGCTAGCAGGTTCAGCCACATTGCTCATCATTACTTCTCTGGGATTTCAAAGAATCCTGGCTTTCAGACAATTCTGGATCTCCTCCTGCTTCTTAGGATCATCACAAGGGACCACAGAGAAATCCACACAAACACCTACCAAGGTGCTCTTGCACAAACTCCCCTGCTGTTAGAACCTGAGGCACAGGCAGTCCAGCCTGACTTACACAGGGAATTGTATCGGTCACTGCTTGCAGTGGACTTTAACCTCTGGAAGACAAATGAAAAAAAGCTCAATCCACAAATCCCAAGCACTTTTTATCTTGTTATACAACACAACAGTCACAAGGCTGCTAGTCACATTTCATTCTCATTTCACTTGGATACCAAGCAGGTATTTTGAAACAGGATTTAAAAAAAAAATATTAGTTTTTAAATGTGGGTTGGGTATTATCTGCATTTGGTTCATGGGGACTCCACTGCTTGTGTTTGCACTCAGGATCTCCATCTTAACAATGCCCAGGACTGACAGAACACCAGATCTGGAGGGGCTTTTGTTTGAGTTATTACTGTGACTGCTGCTTCTTTATGTGACACAGGACAATGATGGTTGACTACAAGACCAGGGATTGGGAAGAGCCCTTGTCTGAAGGAAATTTAAAAAGACTGGGACCATTCACCTTGGAGGGAGTGAATCAGAAAGAACAC